CTAATGACCTCGACCTGAGCGGCATCCCTGCGACGTTTGGATCATTTCAAACCTCCCGCGATCCGAACTTTCCATGGCTTCGAGACTCTCCCGAAGAGAATGCAATGGCGCCTCAGCAAGACGTGCAAGCCTTGAATGATCGGGAGTTTTGCAAGTGGATGGATTCACCCAATTTGTCTAGGTATGGCAATATACACGACGACACACGAACTCAGGATTCAGAAGAAACTCCGTCTTCTCTGAGTATAATACCAAGTACCTCAGCAGTGCTCGACGCTGACACAGATATGTCGGAGCTCATCTCAAACTCCGATACCAGCATCGACGATTTGCTGATGTCCATGGCGGGCTCTAATGCATCCTGGACCGCGAGTTCCGGCAGCCTTGAGTCTCTGGAACAATTGCATACATCAGAATCATATCTACAGTAGCCAGGGATATCATGAAGATGACGGCGCTGGCTGCGCGTCTATTATCATTTTTTTCAAGTGATACAAACCTTCCTGCATTAAATGTAGCGCCACCGTATTTAATAACCTAAATTTTGCCATCTGCGACTTTTTACCACCGTAGCACATCTATGGCTTTTGTCGTTGCTTTCGAACTGCCAATGCTTTTCACATTACTCTTCTTTGCTTTGATTACCAGGTTATTCTTTCTGTGGGTCGTCCAAGGTGATTGGCCATTTCCTAAGATGGACTTGGTAATGTACGTCTTATCTTTTTTTGCCCGCCGTTTTGACAGGGCTTTTCAGGAGCAAGAAGCCATCGATGTGGATCCAAATCTTTATTGGGATTCTTTCAATAGTTCCGTACACAGAAACTGTGCGCCTCAGATTAATAAAAAGGCTAGTTCTAAGCTAATACTGACTCAGTTTCTCCGCATCGGTTTTCAGCAGCTCAAAAATCCATTCACAAAACGATCAACACGTATCGCACTCCGAGTTTATGCTTTGGCCTCTGCGGTCTCAAAGATATTAGTGACATTTTGGGGGCATTTATGCTACAGATAATTCACTGCATCACTCTCTTCCTGCTTTTTTTGTATTACCTTTGTGAGATCGCATGGTACTTGTGGTTAACCAAAGGCGCCACACAGGGCCGGAAAAGGCTGCATCATCTATCAAGCGTGAGCCTTCTATTGCTAGGGGCTGCTATTCTTGACGCAATTTCGAGGCTATGGGTGATTGCCCTTGAGGTATTTTTTCGAAACTTTGAACCTACGTGATGGGAGAGCTAACGATATCAAAGTCCAGCTTATCGTTTGCACCATGTGGGCAGTGTACAATCAGTCCGTTTCGTGATGTGCAATGAAGGGTTCTATATACACCCTTTGAATCAAGCTGGGTTATAATTCCAAAATATCAGCCAATCCGAATTGTCATCGCTGAATTAATCATACCGTTGGTCCTAATGGCGAGGGCCTGGAAGTGGAGAAGGAGGGTGAATTGGCTTTAAATCTTGGTTATAACTCTCCCGTGTGAGCGAAATTTGCATTTACCAAATGATAATTGTATATTCAGGGGGGGCAATCCGAAGACAGACCGTGGAGATCTGCGATCATATAAGATCAGCCCGCCTACTTCGATCTCCGTCGAAAGCCTGACACGGAGCCATGGGATGTGACTTCAGATTATTACAATGCCACGACCGATTCAAGCTGCAATTCCATAGGCGCTGTGCTGGTGTCATTTTCAAACATCCAGGTCTTCTGAAAATGTAAGAAAGGAGAGCTGGCAAGAGCAGACGGGAGAACAAGGGACTCTGTTGTGATACATACGGGGGCCGCACAGATCAGGAGCCCGCCGCACTGTAAGTTGTACAACGTCTATCGTTTCTTGTGCATAAAATAGGATCAGGCAGCGCAACATGGCTTGATGTTTCTCTAATTTTGATGGGGTATTCTTTGAGTAAAATAATGCGCTCATCATCGGTGAGTGGAATCAAATGGCATGATCTGTTGCCACCCTGTCAGTCGCAATAAGGTACTGGTTCACAATGGTTAATGATTAAACACGTCATCGATGCTTTTCTGTGGCATCCCCACGACTGTGTAAACAGTGCCAACAGTGAGAAAAGGCTTTTTATAAACTGGATCACCAGAAAGAAAAATACAATGCCTCCGAGTGCTGCATTAAATCAATGATGAAATGTTGAACCAGCTGCAATTGAAGGGTCGTCTGTGTTTGTGCCCTCACAATTCACAGCGATCGTTGCGTCGACACAAGCAGAATGACTCGCTGCAATGCTATAAATACCCGATCTCTTGCGAGCAGAACAGCAGAACAGTCATTCGCAAGCATTCCTTTGTCACTCTGGGTCAGAAATATCGATCGCTTTTCGTCTTGGCCAGCAACACTTCGGTATGGACTGACCTCAAAGTCACGCACTTATAATTAAACTGGCCTTTTGCATCGCACTAGCCTCTCATTGTTCGATGCTGAAGTCTTCAAACAGCAAGTGAGTGTAGCTGCCCCGTCATTTGAAATCATGCTGACATGGAATATGTTCAAGATCAGTCCTCCTCTACTATCCCTCTAGGAAACCATTTGGCGTACCTTGGATGACCTCAAAATGATCGAAGCTGCACGCACAGTGAGTTATGAATTGCCTTCATAAGCTGCCTACTGATGATTAATGATAGATCGAAGTCGTCCCTTACACAGCCGCTTCGACCTTGCCAGAATGCAGCGAACAACATAGCCAACAACGTAAGTTTTTTATGAGCGGCAATATGGAGAGTATTCGTCCTGTGCTAACGACTCCCCGTATAAGAAGGCAACATTCGACCACGAGCCGCTCGATCTCCTTTAAGTCACCCTGGTGCGTTGCCTCTGCCTATTCCCATAGCCGGGGCTGCATTTTGGATCTCAGTGCAGACGTTATTTACTTGGGGTTTTATCTTGTCGTGCTCTGTGCCCATCAGAAAAGATCGCTGATGCTACTTTCTAGTCATCGGACAAATTTCGAGATGGCACTCGCCACGACCGAGCCGTACTTCCCCATTGTCCTCAAAACTAAGGATGCAGTGCACGTTGGGCCGGACCAATGAATCCCAGAGCGTTTCTCTATCGCTGTTCCAGGACACCTGCTTGAAGCATCCTTTTACTCGTGTTTGGCTGGTGAAATCTAGAAAGGCCCAATGCCCTTTGATTGTCATATGGTAGAATTCCAATATGCTTTTATCTCTCCCAGCTTCATCCTATTTGACCAAACGTTAACTGTGACCATATTAGCTTCCGTATCCCAACGGCCTTGCACCTCTTGTCCCATGTCTGATTCGAAGCCTCGAGGACGGCATGGCCCGGTCCCATACTAGACTGAGTGAGCCATCGCAGCATCCGACGACAACGAAGAGAAGTCTAGCATCAACGACCACCGAGAGAGATCTCGATTTTTATAAAAGCAGAATCAGCCAATGATGCAACAAATTACCGACCACGAGCTGAGGGCCAGCGCTGTCAAGCCTGGTTGTAGCTGAGCAAGCGACAATCCAGGCTGCAGCACTGGATCTACCCCAGATCTCTCACCGTGAGAGCAGTCGTTTTCAGGTCAGTTCCAAGTTTGCCCTAGACCAAATACCATTAACCTCTCCTACAGTGATACTTTGTCCTGACACGGTTGAAGATTTGCCTGGCGTACGAACAGTAAATACGAAACAGCTATGCATTGGCAGATACGGCCCACATCCATTCCCGCGGTACGGAGTGATCCCGGGCCTTAGTGAACGTATAATCGAGCTGACGCCTGCTACCTCGTCTTTGATTTGTCCATGCTGATGCCAGACTATATTGACGGCAAGTCTGCACCACCCTCATTCACCGGAAATCATGCTGACATATGCAATGACACACAGCCCTGGTTCGGTCGTTCCCACAAGTTCGATCGGAATAGTGTATTGTGGCTGTTATTGGGAATCTCATCTAGGCCGCGAGCAAGGTAAGTTGCGAACACCCATCTTGCGCCAGCGGCTGATAATTGGTACTAGATCGAGTGTATCCTACGGCAAATTGCTTTGGCCGTGTCCAATGCAGAGGGCGATTCATAACTGCCACCGTGGCCTACTTGATAAAGAAGCTGGCAAGTACGCTGTCATCACTAAGATAGTTTGGAGGCCAACTAACCATGTTGTCAGGTCAATATGATGAAGATGACTGTTTCCTCCCAAATGCGGCCACGAGCCGATCGGATGCTCCCTCATCGATGTTACCACCGAACGCCACAGAATCGCCAGCCGAAGCAGCCTCGCAAAGCACCTGGCAGATGGTTTGCTTCAGCTATCACAATTTCCCATTAACGATTCAAGAGGTATATGGCTAGTTTTTAATGCAAGACGGAGATGGCCTGCTTATTGACGTAATCGATTACATTCTCCGCTCGATCCAGGAATACTGGGTGGATGAGACCAACGTCAAGAAGATGGGGAATGGAGAATATTGCATTATCGGTGTGAATTGTACTTAGCGGTGGAGGCACTGGCACGGATAGGAGCGTGCGTCTGTTGAGAGTCGAGACCCCAAGAACAGCGGTGTTTTGAGTGCAGCGGTAGGCGGTGCGGTGTGATAGGCGGTAAAAAACTCATGTTGCGTCATTCTACCCCTGACACTCTCATTTAGCACACCACCACGGGAACCAAATAACCTACACGATGAGCGACGACGACAATGGGGATTCTGAACTCGATGAGGAAATCCACCAGTTTTCCAAAAATCTGGAAAGGATGCGGAAGCGCAGACGGCTCATAGAGCTGCAGGCACAAATCGCGGAGGAGAGGAAATGGCTGCAAGAAGCGCAAGAACGCCTCGACAACGCTCGACGAACTGTGGGCCCCGACGCTTTTGCTTCGGTTAGTCACCAATCGTCGGTGGTTCCTAGATCGTCTGTCGTTCCAAATCCACCTGTCATCTCGGAATCGACAGCGTTCTCCGTTGCCCCGGCCAAGACACCAGCAGCGCTGTGGATGCGTTCATGAAATCTGTCCTGAACCCTTCCGGCGAGAATATGGCACCGAGAAATAACAATGCACTTGAAAATAATCAAACGTTTGCCGATAACGACACACCTGCCAATGGTCACACGCCTGCAAATAATGAGCGGGTTCAACTAGAGGATTATCTTCCGGCAGCTCACCAGCTCCATATATCAGAGCACGCGGCTGCAACTTCTGCCCCTACCCAAGCACGGATGGTCAACGGGGAAGTGAAACGGGAGTCACCAGCTCCGGCGATCTGGGGCAACAACGTAGCCCCTGGATCTGCTTCCCTGGAACACCCTCTCTACATAGGGCCTTATGAAAAGGAGAACAATGAAAAAAAGATGACGCTTCTCTCTGAAAGCGGGTACGAACCCGAGGAAGCAACAGACGCAGTCCCTCCTCAACATCGGACAAGCATCCAACCCGATGCGCCGTGGCCATTCATCCAATCTACAACTGTGCGTCGAATAGCTACTCCGCCAATTCCGCCAGCTCTTGAATTTGGAAGCTACCGAGGAAGAAGATGGGCTGAGTGCGTACACTATATTAATACCATGGAAGCCCACTTCGCCCGTTACCCCAACTACTACACCGAGGCTCGCAAAGTGGAGCTAGGTGCAAAATACATCTCGCCCGTACTGATGGATAAGTGGCACAATCACATAATAGCGTCTGGAAACACATCATGGATGTTATACTGTACATTCCTAGCTCAGCAGCTCTCACGATACGCAAACCACAGGCAAGCCCTTGAGGGAATTGCAAGCGCCTCCCAGAAAATTGCCCAGCCTGTCACTCATTTTGCTCTCTGGCTAATCCAATGGGCGCCCGTCACTCCGGACATCAGCAGCAATGAATTTATGGCATATTTGCTGAGAGGAGTTCTCCCCGATATTCGTGCTCGTGCGCAAAAGTCATACGTGCAGTTTTCGGATTACAATTCCTTTGCTATGTATCTGCAGGAAGTCGAAAACTCCACTCCGTCCCGAGCGAAATTTCTCGCAAAACGAAATAATAGTACCGCCTCGACTGACGAGCTTTTGGTCTCACTGAATATGAATGAAACTGAACGGAAACCCAAAGGAATCTTGTCATCAGAACCGCTTACACAGCTGCGTAGTCAATTCGAATGCCGACTATCATCAGAAATGCCGGCTCCTGGGGACCTGCGGCTCTACTCGGCACGCAGCTGGCGGGAATGCAAAAATTTCATGTCTAAATTGCAGGATTACTTCGACCAGTACGGAAGCCACTTCAACGAAGCTCGCAAAATCGAGATTGGCAGGGACAACCTCTCGCGTGTATTGCTTGGAAAATGGGACGAGCATGCCGCCCATCTTAGAACAGCAACCTGGTTCGCATTCTGCGTTTTCCTCGTTGACCAAATTCCTTCCGAAGGCGCAGGAAACTTCAAGTACACTAATACCTACCAAAGGGTCAACCAATCTGTGTGCACCTTCGCGCTCGAGCTACTCCGTTGGGCTCCACCCAACTTCGGCGCGACGCATAACCGTCTGCGGCATCTGTGGGACCGGGTGCTCCCGGAAATCCGTTCAAAGGCCAATACAAACTGGGAGGACTTTGACGATTTTCTTGCCTTTGTTGCTTATCTGCAACAGGTCCAAGACTCCCTTTCAATCCGAAAACAGACAGCAAATCCGTGCAGGCCCCCCCCACGAAAGCGTTTTCGCGTCGATGGGAGCTCTTGAGCATGAAATCTTGGATTCCTCTTGTGGGGAATGATTGAGACTTGTACAGAATTGAGGATTGCACAGTGGTGTTGTGAGTCGCGTTTTACATTACATTCTTAATCTTCTGTAAACATAGGTAGGCAGAGCATAAGCGTCGACATTGCATATCAGGGTGACAGAATAATGTCGTGAGAACAAATGCTCCGAAAAGAACAATTTCGGCGCATCTTTGAAAACCCGACCAACCCTCGTTTTGGCGATTCCTGCTCAAGCATAGAGATTGTCTAGGCCCCAGGAGCTGCGCAAGGTCCCAACTACGTATGTCAGGGATATACATGAGGCATACACGCTAAGCGGAGGACACGGACCCACATGGCGCATCTGGGTTCCACTGAACGCGAGGAAGCTATCTTTATCTTGCTTCCTCGCGCTACGTCTTGTATCTAGAGTCGACTATAGCTTTCTTTAATATTGATTATTTCATCCGAAAGACACGCTACTCATCAGCAGATACGTGAGACCCTCACATGGTAGGCTCAGGCTCCCAGGAGCTCAGAGCTAAATTTGGACCAATCATTTCTACTGAGGCTTTGTGGCACATGTGGATCATTCATGGTACCGATTGGCTCATTATTCCTCCGTAAACAATATTATATTAGTGGTATCCAATAATCGCATCAATATTTACGACCCACAGGCTCCTGGGAGCGACGACCCGATATCACCCAATCACTCCACAAGGCTTGAGAGCACTGATTGGCACTGATTGGCTCATATTTCCCTGTTGTATTATCCACATTCCATGTCCACTTAGTTCTCAGGAGATCGATGTAAGTATTGCTATACGCAAAGACGAGGTCGATAGCAGAAAAAATTGTTCTGCGAAAACATAATCGATCTAGTGACTCACTAACTATACAAGGAGCTCTTTCGCGAGATGTGGGCTGTGCGAATCAGTCCCACGCTGCACCATAGTTTGTGTCTGCTTGATATTGTGTAGGTGTAATGGGTTTTCTACGATATGCGAGGTAGGCAACGAAGAACCCTGCGGTCTGCCTGCCTTTGGTGAGTTGCTATTGCGTGGACTAAGGGGCTCATCACTGGTGAGTGAAATGAAATGACATGACCTCGTCGCCTCACCCGTCGCATTAAAGGGCAGAATCACGGTGGTGAATGGTGATAACCGTCGTCGGTTCTTTTCTGCGGCATCCTCATGACTGTTGAAACAATGCTAACAGCTAGGAAATATTTTTCATGTTCTTCATCACCAGGAACAAAATGCAATGTCTCTGAGAGCTGCTTTGAATCAATGATGAGATGTTGAGCCAGTTATCATTGAAGAGTAGTTTTTGTTTGAGCCCTCACAATTCATAATGATGATCTCATTGACGCAGGCTGAATGCCTGGCTGAATTGCTATAAATGCCCGGTTCGTCACCAGCAGAACCGTCGGTCGCAAGCATTCCTTTGTCACTCCGGGTAAAAGAATATCGATCAATTTTTGTTTCCGTGGCTACTATTTGGAATGTTGACTTCGAAATCGTGCAACGAAATTGACTGACTTGCTGCATCGCACTAGCCTGGCTTTTCTCGACACAAGAGGTCTTCGAACAGCAAGTGAGTGTAGCTGCCCAGTCATTTGATACAGTATCATGCTAACATGGAAAATGCTCGATGTCAGCCCCGCCTCCGCTATTCCTCTGAGAAGCCATTGAACGAACCTTCAGGATCAGGATCTGGAACGGTCCAAGCTGCGAGCACAGTGAGTTACAAGTTGCCTTCATAAGCTACCTGCTAATGATTGAAGATAATGAGGTGCCATCCTTTATACAGTCCCCTGCAGTGGACAGCAAGAACCGACAATGTAAGTTCAATGACTGCAGCAATTTTCAAGGCAGACATCATGTGCTGACGACCCTCTATATAGGATGGCAAACTTTCTATCGCGAGTCGCTCAATGTCTTGTAAGTCACGCTGGTGCTTTGCCCCTGCCCATTCCCAACGCCCGGTACTGCACTTTCAATCTCAAAACGAACGCTTTCCGTTCGTAGCTCTCCGTTCCTTAGAAAATATCGCTTATGATTCTTTTTCGTCATAGGGCGAGCTTCAATTTTACACTCGACCTGACCGAGCTATGTTCCCCCCTCGTCCTCGAAACTAAACCAGCTGCAACAACCTGATGGGCCAAGCTACTGAATCTCACTACGCTTGCGTCTTTGTTGTTTCTGAAGACGTGGTTGACACGGCCACTTCGCCTGGCGCAGTAAGCAAGCCCAATTCAGGAAGGCCTGATGCCCTCTGATTAGCCATATGGTAAAATTCCAAAGTGTCTTCATTCGTCTCTCCGGCATTACCCTATCCAGGCAAAGGTTGACAGTCAATGGATTAGTAACTCGCAATATTCTGACGGCTATGAACCCCCTGCCCCACATCCGATCCGAAGGCTTGTCGGTGGCCATGAGCCGGCCTCACTGTTGACCGAGCGAGCCATCAGAGCATCCGCGACAACGAAGAGGAGCCGAGAATCGACAGCCACAGAAAAAGACAACTATTTCCCCGAGGAGCATCAATCAGCAAATTGAAACGAGCTATTGGCAATAGTCTTAAGGCCAGATATTCAACCCCTGATTGCAGCTGAGCAAGCGATAAGACAGGCCGTGGCTTAGATCTACCCTAGACCCCTCGCTGCGAGAGCAGTCATTGTCAGATCGGGGCGAAGTTTGTCGCAAACAAAATAACATGAAACTCTCGTCCAGTAGTAATTTGCCCTGACACAGTTGAAGATCTGCCCAGAGTCGTGCATTGGCAGGTATAGCTACATCCATTCCCCCTAGTACAGAGTGTTCCCGGACCCTCGTGCACGTGGGATCGAGCCGACGTCCGCTAGCTCATCTCCGGCTTGCCTATACTGATACCAGACTATATTTACGGCAAGTTTCTACCACTCCTCAGCCACCAGACACCATGCTGACCTCGGATGGCAGTGAAACACAACCCTGGTTCGGCCTTTCCCACGAGTCCGGCCGGGGTGCTGTTCGCAGCTGGTAGCAGGGGATCTCATCTGGGGCATGAGCACGGTGAGTGGCGAACGACCACCTTGCGCACAGCTGCTGATAATAGGTGCTAGATCGAATGCTCCCTCCTCGATGTCATCACCGAACGCCACGAACTCATCAGCAGAAGTAGCCTCGCAAAGTACGACCAGTCGGTTGCCGCGACGATTACAACTGCTCAATTATTACTCGAAAGATGCCAGGTCAGTTTGTGATAACTCGTGGATAGAATTAATTGTTGTCTTCGAAAGTAGCCGTCATGTTTCTGTCAGTGCGGCATGTCACATTTGCCCGACGCGAGATGCTGCGACGCGTCAGTGCACGGCCTCGTCGCCTGTGGCAGACGTCTGAATACCCCCGGATGCTGCCATGGGTCGGCATGCTCAAGTGGCTATAGAAAGTGGGTTCATTATAATCACGAAGTGGCCAAGAGGTAAAATCAACCGTAGAAGACACGAAATCACCCGGAAAAATCAAGCGGGTTTTGACCCGTCTTTCTGATGAAAGGTCATCTGAATGTATCCTGCAGGAATCGAACCTGGGCCGTTATTAGAAAGTAAATGCAGCAAGTTCTATTAGACCAGATTGGGAGAGGTGCTGGCGCGCGAATTTTGCTTAACCATAACCACCATTTTCTAAATAATCATACCCGCCGTTCTTCCGGGCACGCACCCAGCCAGATCAGCGTTTTGAGCGCCACAAGTGTGTTTCATTTGATCAAGCCGACACAAAATGATATTTAAAATATGTTTAGAAGAATTAGGCTTTCTATCGCTGCTACTCTGCTGGTTCGTTGCCGGTTTGACCGCCGGTAATGTATATAATAGCACTGGTCTGGGGATATATATATTGCAGGTATCGAATCAGCATACAGCGACACTACCTCAGATATTGTACAGAAAATCGCCAAAGAGCACGCGACGAAGCTCGAGCCGAGAGAATGTCACACAGAAGACCGACCGGAGTATGTACTACCATATCAAATCTAATATGTAGAAATCATCATTTCGCATTGTTTATTAACTTTTGCATTCGTGAGGGAATAAGATCCCCACTATGACGCATGAGTGTTACCGTTGGCCGCCACTTCACCGCTCGGCAGTGACGCCGCGCCGCAAATCAATATGTTGACCACTGGTTCCCATCGATCATGATCATCACCATTTCTCAACTGTCACTCACCTCCGGCCCCCATCGCCAGCCCTCGCAATCAGTGTGTCCCCAACCTCAACACGCCTTCATCAGCACGCCAATACTACCTACTCACTGTCGAAAGCCCGCAATTCACCACGTCGAGACCAATTCTGCCCCCTTGGTAGCCAGCAAAGACACGCATTCACACAAATGGCGACTACTTTGGATTGCACGCGTCGCCCAGATCGGCCATCAGGCTATCATTCACTGAGATCCCCACTGGCCCGATGACTCAGTGCCCTACTTCGCACTACGTTGTAGAAATGCCCATTGTCGAAAGCCAGGGCGTGATTCAAGGCTCCATACAACTTTAGGCGAACCAGGAACATGGCTATTGAACTCTACAAACAGGCTGAATGGCAGGACACAAAGTAAACTGGATGATTCTTGATTCTATTGATTCTTTGGAGCAGGTCTTGGCTTCTTCGAGGGCTCCCCCAATACTAGTCTCTGACACCACGAAGAGGTGCCTGCAATCGCCAGAGGATTAGGACGAGGACCGCGGCGCCACGGGTCGCCTAATGAGCGCAAATTTGATAACGCAGGGCTCAGGGCTGCATGGAAGCTCAAGATTATTCAATCACAGGGCTCAGGGCTGTGAGGGAGAACTTGGTGTCGCAGCGGTCTCCTGCGGAGGTTCTTGGTGACGCAGGCGTCCCTGCGGAGCACAGGTTTACAACGCAGGGCTCATTGCTGCGAGGGAGCACATTTTTACAGTCACAGGGCTCATGGGCTGTGAGGGAGAACTTTTTGACGCAGCGGTCTCCTGCGG